ATTGTATTAAACTTTTGATTTTTAATTTTGGAAAACAAAGAAATCATATTCAAAATGAAATAGAAAATTAACAATTGTCATTAATGAGTTATTTGTAATTTAAAAATAATTTAATTTCTGTTTCAATTATGTAAATTAAAATTTTTAACTAAATATTTGTAGAAGATTAATTAATTAATAAATTTGGATGGACTTAAATAATGAGATATTTATAAATATCAAAAAGTATAATAATATATTTTAAAAATGGCTATTTTATAATTGAAGCGCAAAACAAAATAATAATTTAATTTGTGATATATTGATATGATCATACTAGATCAAATGTTTCACCTTAAAATAATAAAGCTTCTTCTAATCTTTTCTATAAAATTTGTTGATTTGAATAAGGAGGCATATCAATTGTATGTGTGCTATTTATTAAATATGAATTATACCATGTATGACCTTGAGGGTATCTTGAATCAATATCAGTTTAGAGATAATTAAGTAATTTTACTGTTATTCTGCACTCTTAATTTTCGAATCCTCCAATAGGTATTCTGGTACGGCCTTAAATCGATTAAATTTTTACTTGTTGTAAATTTTAAAAATTTTACTAGCATATCCTGATTGTAACTTCTCAATGTATTTTAAAGCCATCCAATCACTTAATGTTTGGAAGTAAAACCCTAATAATTTAGGTGTTTTATGAGATCCTCAACTATTCAAATAAGTTTAAATATAAATACCATCTACATATGATTAGCCACACAATAACTATTCTAAATCAGTTGAATCAAATATTTTAATATATTCTTTTGGTATAAGTGAATAAAACCCTTATTAAATGGCTTTAATTTATTCCTCAATATCTTTAGCCATAATTTAATGACAATACTTTCTTACAAAGTCTTTTTTATCGTTTTCTGTAACTTCAATATCTTGACCTCCAGGTTTTAGTTCCTTATCTACTTTTTTTCCACCTCTATTAATTGTATATAACCAATACAAATCCCAATTAGAATCAATTTAAGAATTATATATAACATCGAAAGCATTATAAACCCCTTCATCATAATATTGAATATCAGATCTGGATAATTTTTAGCCCACTATGTGTTTATAAAAATAGATTGGAAAATTGGAAAGTATATTAACTTTACAAATAATAGCAATAGCCAAAAACATTCCAACAAATTTAAACTTTTAAAGATGATTAGGATCCAAAGATTCACTATTTATTAAATACCACGTTTTGTTATCATTAGGTATAAATAGTTAATTTTATTCATCTAATATTGAATAAGAAAGCTTCTCAATCCAATCTGTTGTTAATCCACCTGCATCTTATCCCATTTCTCCAACATAACGAATTTCAAATAATTTATGCTTGAATATATAAGGACTACTTCTTATTATTTATTAGTATGAGTCTTAAAAAATTTAGGATTTCCTTACTCTGATTAGCATTCTATCATAAGAATTGATAATTAATAAATTAGCATACAAATAATCTTTCTTATTTTGAAAATCAATTACTTGAGGATAAAAATTTAAGATTCCTCTTATAAGATCATTATTATTAATATTGTTCGTATTTTACCTATAATTTATATTGTAAATTTGCTCTTTTACAATGTGATTGATATAAGCTCTACCATTTAGACAAAAGTTCTTAAATAATTTTTCAAAATCAATCAATCTTTCTGTAGATCCTGTTTATGATATCTCCATTGAAGATATCCTTAAAAGTGGTAAATTTTAAGTATTAGATTGATTTTAATAACATATTAAAAATACTTTTAGGATAGGCAATAATCTTGAATCAGATAAATTCTAGATTGAGGATATTAATTAATCTGAATTTAAAAATTCTTAACATAAGTTGCGTTCTTATTCGCCTTTGCTGGATATAATATAAATCATCTAAAATATTTGTTCTAATTCATTTATTTCTTTAAATGGTTATACAATTTATTATTTATTAAAGAATTAACTATTATAGTATTCAGAAATTCTTTTAATTTTAATTTTATTCACTGCCATAAAATGAATGGTATTATGCAAAAATTATGAAATCAAATTAATATAATTAATACGATTTTAAATATCCTTCTATTCTATCATTAAGTTGTATAACTTTTACACTTAGGCTGGAGTTAGTATTAAGTGATATTTCTATTCTTAATTTACCAAAAATTGAAAGATTTCCTTTTGATGTTTACCTTATAATAGAAGCTCTATCAATTGTTTAACATTTTCTTCTGATATATTGAAACTTGAAGTTATTAGTAACTAATTTAATAGCTTTAAGGCTTTATTTTAAACAAAATTAATGGTCTAATCATGATCACTAATTCTTTAATTTCTCGAAATTATACGAGATTGATAATTAACATTTTCTTATCTCTAATTTTATGTGGTCATATTCAAAGTCTTAATTACTTGTTGAATTATTTAATTGTGAAAATTGGCTTTTGTTCCTAGACTTATTAAGAAAGCATTTATAAAATCATAATTTAATTCAATATCATCATCAACATAAAAGAATATTAAGAAAATTTATTATATCAATTATTGATCTATTTCACCTAAATGCTTTAAAGTTTATTTTCGATTTCTCTAAGCAGAATTTACAATATTTTTTATTTTTTAAAATTAATTTTATGCTTAATGTTAAATTTAACTATTATCAACTCTGGATTGATTGTTTTAATGACCCATTACAAATTAATTAATAATTTAATTTTATTAGTCTTAAAAATTTCCAAAATTTTAATCTATATTTTAAATTTAATCATTAGAATTATTTGGATATAAATCTTATTACCATTCATTATAATTTCTTATCAGTTAAATATTATTTTATAATGGCAATTAATGTTTAAATTCTTGCAAGTTTATTTAAAATTAGCAGGGAAAATGTAACTCTTCAAATTTAATTGTAATTTATATCTAATTTTCTAATATTTAATTTGTTACGCCTTTCATAAAATTAGTGAAATTATTATCTATCTCTAAAGTATTTTAAGTTTCTTGTTCTAAAGATTGGTCCAACTCATCTGTCCAAGAATTAAATTCTTCTACTAATTCTTAAGTACAGATTTCTTGAGAATTGTTTATTTCAGGAATAATTTATAAAATATCTATTGGTATTTCTTGTTCTCTATTTTAATAGATATTCTCTTAAAATTATCCATTTTTAATCTATAAAAATGGCCAATTTTATAAATAGTATTAAAATTATTCATTGTTCCAATTTTTGGTTTTAAAGATCTATGAATTGATTTAATCACTCTAAAATAATTAACAATTAGTTTCTTCTGGATTTATTTATCCAATGATTCTTAATTCCATTTTATCATTATCAAATGAATGATTAATTATTGGTTCTGTCTTTTCTAAAAGTAAGCTTGTAGCAACATTATATAAAACATTCAAGGTCTTTATCATGAAAAATATTTGATCCTTTTTAATAAAATACTTATCATAATTGAAATTTTTAATTCCATCTATGTATAATTTAATAAAATTAAATGAATTTTAAGGTTCTTTAATATTTAATATACAAATCTTAGCAACAGATTTTATTTATAATAAAGTGACTATCATATTCGATTGGTTAAGTATTTTATCATCTTAACTATTTATTGATTTATTTATTTCAACATACAACTATTTTATTATTAATCTTCTAATATCATAACCAAATGGAACAATCATCTTATTTTATTTTCTAATTACAACTAATGTATCTAAACAAATACAAAACATAAAATCCTTTGGTGGAATTATAAACTTTGTTATCAATGTAAGAAATGAAATTTTAGTAGGCAATTAAGAATTTTCATATCCAATGTTAATTTTAAATTTTTAAAGAAACTAACTACAATTCATTCTTAAGATTTATGGCAAAAGTAATGGAAATTTTGAAATAAGAAATTACAACACATCAAATAAGATTTTCCAATAATACTTTTATTCTTAATTGTTATCGAAATACTATATAATAATTTATTCAACTAAAAGTTTCAAAAGGATTTATGTTTCATTTTTATGTTTGAAATTAAATTATTAAATGGCATTTCCATTTTATTTGATGGTATTTAATGTATCAAGTTGAAAACCTTGTTTTAATATCAAAAAGTTATTCTCAACTTATTCATTAAACAATAAATTCATTATATCTGTTATATCTTCTTAATAATTTTAATTATTTTGAAGAAACTATAATGCTGGATGATTTTTTTATATTTTGTATTATTCTTAGGTCTAAACATTATATTATGTAGGTTGCTAACAAATAGGAAAAGCATTTTAATTTTAATAATATTGCAAGTCTTATTGTTAATTTATAATTTTGACTTGTTTCTAATTTTCTTAATCAAAAATAATTTTCTTTATCTTTGCTTCTATTTAAGCTCTTATTATAGTTTTATCATAAATTATGGCTAATGTTAATTTCGTAAGACTTATAAAATGATTATAAGAATCTCCTTTCACTTTAAAGACTGATTCCAATCCTCTCATTTAGTAAACAAATTGATTTACGAATAAACTGTTTTTTTAAAAAATATTGACTAAGATGTCAATACATATTTAAAAAGTAATTTGATTTTAAACATCAGAATCAAGTGTTTTTTAAACACCTTTTAATATTAAACTCAAAGATTCTTGATTTTCTGTAATTAAATTACTCAAAAATGCTAATGTAAAATTAACAGCTTTAATTTTTAATTAGTCAACCTATTATAATAAAACATCAAGTAATTTTAACAATTCTCTTAATATTGAATCAAATGATTATTAGTATTATTATTAATCTAATTTATAAAGCGAGCTTAAGGCTAAAATAATACTTTTTAAGTTATAATCTGGTTGGTTAGACATTTCAATTTCAAATCCCATAAATTGTAGATTTAGATTAAATTACTTCTAAGCTGATAATTATAAAATTCTTAATATTTCTGATAAATTAAGTTGTAGATATAGTTCACTAAAAACATCAAAGTTTGAAATCAATTCAATATTTTCCTTAAATAATAGTCTTATTGATTCTTATTAAGCTTTTATTTTTATTTGCTGAAGAATTTATTCATTAATTTATGAATTTAATGTATCTAAATCCTATGTAAAAATTTTATTAAATTAATCCCCATTTATTATTTGAGGATATCTCGTAAATATATTCATTATTTTATTTCCTTCTTACGTAATATTAATTTACTAAAGAATCGTTGGACTTGCAAATTTATTTGCTTATATCAATAAAAATTCCTAAATTTCCTTTATGCTTTCTTTTGTTGAATTTTTAGTTATTTATATTAGAGAAACTATATCTGAAATTATTTTAGGAATTATTAATAAATTATTTCTTCTTAATGGAATTGTATATAATTGTTTTAAAATTTATAAAATAGTATTGCCTAAATCATTAATTAATTGTTTGTTTGAGCTATCAGTGTTAATCAATACAATATAATTTTTTATTACATTTTACAAATGATTTCCAAATTATGAGTTGATAAGAAATTGATTGATTTCTTATTGAAAAGTATTAAAAAAAACAAAAAAAAAATTGATTTTCTATAATAATTTTAGAGTCATGGAAGGATGATTATTGGATTCAAAAATAAATCTAATTAATAATCTGCTTATTGATTGTAAATTATTCATATTACTATTACGTGATTATTGTAAAATTCTAAAGAGAACATTTGAAGCATTTTCACTGAATAAGGCTATTTCCAATAAAGCACAGCATTTATCAATTAGTTTATCAGATTAAATTAAAAAATTACCAAAATTATAATCTTCTTAAACAAGTTATGATAAATAATGGATAATTTCTGTAAAACGAGAGGCTATTTAATAAGTTTAAATAGAACAATCTTCTAATAACATTGTTTAATTGAAAGACAACTATGTTGCTTATTCTAAAGGACATCCTAATTCTTTTTCCCATTCATCTATTAATCTCAATGCTTTTTCACTACATTAAGCAGAGTTAAATCCCTAATATAAATAATTAAAATACTTTAATAACAATAAACTAATTAAAGCAAGGAATCTTGAATAAATTGGATAACATATCAAAATATCCATTCTATTACAAATATTAACATAAACTTTAATTTTATACACTTATTTCTCTATTAAATAACAGAATTTATATTTTTTTCTTTTGAATCATTTTAAATTTTGATTCAAAATCTTAATTAAAGTTTAAACTTTATTGTAGGTTTTTTAATTATTCCAATAATTAACCTAATACTTTGACTAATATTTCATGTATTAAAAAATTACTCTTATCATTAATAGAATAATATTTAACTACACTTTTTGCTAAATCAAGTAAAATATAATAATCAGTATTTTCTTGAGTAATTAATTGATAATTTATTATAAGTTCTAAAAATCTTTTTCCATATTCAATGAATTATTTAAATTCTTCTCTTCTTGTAAGATTTGCATAAAAAGAAATAATAGATAAAGTAATTTCTAGGTTTAGTTCTTCAGTATTCATTCTCAGAATGATTTCATTTAAAATATTAGGTAATTTAGAATTAAGAATTGTATAAATTAATTAAAAATTTGCTTTTAATAAAGAACTAATTAAATTTAAAGCATTGATTATGGTTTTGCCTGAATATTGTTGCTATTGTAATTTATTTGCAATCTAGACTAAAACATTAGAATTTGATATCTTTAAAGTTAGTTCACGTATAAAATCTGTATTATCATTATTAAGTTAATTTTAGCCAAAAATACCAACAGGATTCTATGAATTAATTGTTAAAAAATAATTAAGCACCTCAAAACAAGCATTCATAATAATATCTGCATCGGTCTCATTTATTTAAGTATAACCTTCTTAGGCTGGTTTTTGAAGGGTTAGCCCTTTATTAATATAGAGCTCAGTAATTTATAAAAGAACATCTAAATTTTAACTATTTATATGTGGATCATGATTTTTTATCAAATAACCTAATAATTATAGAGCTGAAACTAATTATTTAGGTTGTAATAACATTCTATTATCTTCTATATTAAGAGATCTTATTATAGGTCTAATTATCTCATTATAGTCATCCTCTGACAATTATTTACATATTAATAAATTTCTTAGAGATTGGAATATACTACAAGTTAATTATTCATTTCTAATGAAATTTTCAGAAAAAATCTAAGGATAATACTTTAAGGGATATCCTTAAGTTAATTCATCTTATTCTATATGTTTCATAGATAATACATCTGAAAGCAATTTTTAATATTAATTAGTTTCTGACAAAGTTTTTATTAATTGTATCACTAACAGTGGATCTATGGTTTCAAGTTTAAATAAATTAAAATAATCAGTATTTCTTACATCTTTAATGATAGAATTAAAAAAAACTTTTTTATCTTATATATCTTCATTCAATTAATTCAATATACTTCTCTGTTTCTAAATCATAATAGATACATTTTGATGTAATTTGATTATGATATTTTTAGTAATTTATGGATTTATATTTAGACCTCTTTTAATTAGGATTCTATATTTTACAATTTCAATTAAAGGGGAAATAGGTTCATTATTTTTATTTAATAGATTTCTTGACAAAGCAAGAGCTGAGATTGAATCATCGTCTAAAATTTCTACTTTCTATAAAATGAATATAAAATTAATACTTTATTTTAGAATTGACCTTATAATCTTCTATAATTATGAATATTATTTTTACAAATATCTTCATAACTTTCTTCTAATTGAGTTGGCTCATTATATTCAATATCAAATTATAAAGGATTTCTAAGATTCATTCTATTGTCTTCGTATTTTGGATCTTCTTAAAAATAGTCAATTAAATTAATTTTTTTTGGGGTTAAATAATTAATATGTTCATATAAAATTTTTTCTAGATGTATTAATCTTGGAAAATAATAATTAGAGATATTTCCAACAACTTAAGGTAATAGATAAAATAATTAAAAAACCTTTTCATAAATAAGTAAGCAATCTGTGAATTCAATTATTTTTAGCAGATCTTCTTAAAATGAAAATTAATGATTAAATAGAGGTAAATCAAGGGGATTTTTAAAAAATTCATAGATAAAATCCAAGATCAAGGAACAATCATATTTGGAATTATTTTATAACTCTATTATTATTTAGTTTAAGGTTTCCTTGATCTTCTTCACCAGATGTTCAAAAAGCTATTTATTTAAATACATTTTATCTCGTTTTTGATAATCTTTTATAAAGTTTCTTAACTCTTCAATGTTAAATTAATCAATCATTCCAAATATCTAAAAAATGTTATTCTAATTACTTATGCCTCATCTTCTGTTATTTCATTTATTATTTGTTCTTCTAATAAAGGTTGATGTAAAGCTTACATAATTTTTAATATATTAGATGAAAAATTATCTAATGAAATTTATAGATACTTTCCCTTAAATAATGTTCAAAAATTTTAGTGTAATATTATTGACAATAGTATAAAATGAAATATTATAAAAATAAGTTAGATAGTGGTGATAAAAATTATTTTTTAATAAACTTATTGAAAAGGACACCTAATTAGATTACAATAAGATAATGATTGGATAGAATATTTTTAAACAAAAAATAAAATTAAGAAAAATATTCATCATGTATGTCAATATAAGTAATTTTCATAATAATGTAATAATAATTTAAGTATAAGATGCATTATAATATCTACATTCATTTCTTAGATCTAAAACACCTAAATTATTAGGGTTTTACTTCCAAACATTAAGTGATTGGATGGCTTTAAAATACATTGAGAAGTTACAATCAGGATATGCTAGTAAAATTTTTAAAATTTACAACAAGTAAAAATTTAATCGATTTAAGGCCGTACCAGAATACCTATTGGAGGATTCGAAAATTAAGAGTGCAGAATAACAGTAAAATTACTTAATTATCTCTAAACTGATATTGATTCAAGATACCCTCAAGGTCATACATGGTATAATTCATATTTAATAAATAGCACACATACAATTGATATGCCTCCTTATTCAAATCAACAAATTTTATAGAAAAGATTAGAAGAAGCTTTATTATTTTAAGGTGAAACATTTGATCTAGTATGATCATATCAATATATCACAAATTAAATTATTATTTTGTTTTGCGCTTCAATTATAAAATAGCCATTTTTAAAATATATTATTATACTTTTTGATATTTATAAATATCTCATTATTTAAGTCCATCCAAATTTATTAATTAATTAATCTTCTACAAATATTTAGTTAAAAATTTTAATTTACATAATTGAAACAGAAATTAAATTATTTTTAAATTACAAATAACTCATTAATGACAATTGTTAATTTTCTATTTCATTTTGAATATGATTTCTTTGTTTTCCAAAATTAAAAATCAAAAGTTTAATACAAT